TGTCTCATCTATACACCTAACTGCAGAAAATAACCTTCAGGAACTGTCCTGTCCTCAACATCATGTGCTTATTGATGCAAAGCCCCACACTAGAGGACTGAGGGAAGGGGGAGCATGTGAGACACCACACTGGAGGACTGCAGGCAGGAATGCAGGCAAAGACCACAATAACGAGGAATACAGTAGCATCCAATGGTAAATAGAGAGATCTGTCTGCCACACTAGGAGCAGAAGTTGCCTTATGCTACTCCCAAGGCAATTCAAGGACACCTATAATGGCAAATACTCACTATGAAAAATATTCAAAGTTACAAATGAGAAAACTGAACTTGAGAAGTAGTAGCCTATGCTATTCACCCTGAAGCCTGTGTTAGTATATAAGTTCACTGGCTTCTACCTACTTAATGAAGACCTCCCCCATCTCTCTCTCTCTCTCTCTCTCTCTCTCTCTCTCTCTCTCTCGCCCCACTACCCCCACCCCCAGTAGACATCAGAACAAATCCTAGCATTCTTTCACTGAACCTTGAGTGGACCTCAGGATCCTTATGACATCCAAGCAGTATAAACAAGGAATCAAAAAACACAAAATTCTCTGCCTCTTAAGTCATTAGACGCAAAAGGATACTAGCTAAAAGTTGGGGATATGAATTCACAATTAACCAATGCATAGCAAGTATATTTGCTACAAAGCAGAAGTCAAAAACTAGACACTGGGACAATGTAGCCTAAATCAGAGAGGGCAGGGAAACTCTGATTTGGAGACAGCTATGGTAGAACAAAAAGAATCAAGCTGACTACAGAGGAAAGGAGCATGACTGAAGGCAGACATGAAAGACAAACACCTCTGGAACCGTGGAGAACAGTGTGAACTACTATATCAGAAGGAAGAGTCCAGACACTTAGACACAGGAGATACAGAGAAACTTACTTAGGCTACGTAGGCAGGGCAGAGGCCAACCCTAGCAGCAGTCATACTGGTACGAACTAAATGACCTTTCCCTGTGTAGGGGACTGAATCTACCCAAGTTATCCTGGGAGAGCATAGCACAATCTATTTGATGAAAACTATAAAAATCTTACCTCAATAAGTCATCAGAACAGTAAATTTTAATGGTGTGTCTTCTTTTAATGTAGGAGGTACTATACTGGCTAGTTTTATATCAACTTGACATATGTTTGGGTCATCTGTGAAGAACGATGCAATAGAGAAAACGCCCCCATAGGACTGGCCTGTAGGCAGGTCTGTGTAGGCATTTTCTTGATGACTGATATGGAAGGGTCCAGCTCACTGTGGGCAGTGCCACCTCTAGAATGACTAGTGGTTCTGGGTGCCCAAAGAAAACAGGCTGAACAAACCAAGTCAGTAGGCAGCATTCCTCCATGGTCTCTTTCAGCTCCTGCCCTGACTTCCCTCAGGAATGTGATCTGAGAGTTACAGAGTGAAATAAAGCCTTTCCTCCCCAAGCTGCTTTGGATCATGGTGTTTTGTCACAGGAATAGAACCATTAGGACAGGAACCGGACTGAAAACAGATGATGCTACAGACACCTGAACTACTGCTATAGGGTGCTGTGCATTCTGAGGGGTGCGGGGAGTTTACACATTTACATCTAGGGCCCCGGGTCTCTAGGACGCTTAGGATCTGTGAGAATTTCTTTAGTTCTTCCATGTTAAACCGGCACACACTAAATACCAGCTCCACGAGAAGCCTGGGACCAGTCAATACCTCAGATTTGAGGATATCTGCTTATACACGAGCCACAGCAAAGATGGGTCCAAGTACAAACGTGAAAACCACTTGTTTCTTAATGCCTTATATAGTGCTTGAAGGTATTTATATGTACACCGTCACTGCACCTGTGTTTTCACTACAACCCACCCCTAGACAGGTGCAGAATTCACTTCAGACATTTCATTAGAGTTGTTCAACCTGCTTATGTTTTATGAATTCTTATCCCTTTTATCACTTACCTCTTTCTGACGATCTACAAACCGAATCCTCCTGTAGTCTTTTTCATCATAAACCTGTAAAAAGAAAAAAAAATCTATTACTTTTACAACTGAATTTTGAGTGAAGTCACATAATATTGATCCCAAACACTACAGGGCAATGTTCGCTGTGGCCTTCAGTCATTAATGAGCAGACCCACCAAGAGGCAGCGTACTTATGCTGAAGAAATCCCCGCAGGAATGACGGCCAGGAGTGCAGACTGGAGACAAGCCCCTGCCTTCACAGACAGCCCATTCCAAAAGGCGACACTTCAGGAGACAGTGCTCCTTTCCGCCGCCTCCTCCTTTGATTGTTTGTTCGCCGTTATATTGAGCGTTAGGATTGCTTTATACCCTATTGCTAAAACATGGACCTCAATACAAGGACACGACCCAAAGAATGAGTGAACACCGACTCCCAGCAGGAAGTCACAGCTTCAGTCAGAGCCAGGCTGCGGGCTGCACACCAAGGTGAGCCCAGCAAGGGCTGCGTGCGCGCCTGGCAGAAGCACACCTTGCTAGGCGCCCTGCCACGGTCAGTCTCGGGCTCCAGGCGCAGCGGCGGCGGCCGTTACCTGGCCGGTATGCGTGATCTTCTCCCCACTCGAGGACACTCGCACCCCGAAAGCCCGCGCAGCCCTGGGGAGAGCCAGCAGCCGGCGGAAGGTCAACGCCGCCGCCATCTTGCCGGTGACCCCTGATCCCGCGCGGCGTACGGAGCGCCGACGCAGGCGCACAGGCTGGCAGCGGGACCGCGCTGGCGGAACTTATTTCGCTCTATGGTGAAGTGGCGTCCCCGGGCCGACGGATTCTGCTCCTGCGCGACGACTGGAGAGACTGAAATTGCAGATGCGATGTGTGCGCTTTTATGGCGATGGAGAAAATGCAACATTTCAATGTTATTTATTGAATAAATAAATAGATTGTTCAGCAGAAGACACAGGACATGCACTCAGCTTTCCTGGTCGTGTGTGTTGGGGCTGGAAAGGGAGCCTGCTGAGCATTTTTTTGCAGCACAGAGCTAATAAGTAAAGTTTCCATTTAGACAGAGGGCGATTTTATCCAGCTTGGAAAACCAGCCTTGTAAAGCTCTAAGTAGAGAGACCAGATGCAAATCGCCCTCTGTAACTTTGGAGAACGTGTTGGCTCCCCTGTCTCACTTAAATTTGAGCCAGAACATCATACATTGTCAGATCTTAGAGTGAGCAACTTTGCTCAGATGTGGACAGGATGGAGGGAGACCCCAGACGCAGAGCAGGGGTGGGTCACTGATTTCAAGAAAGTATCAGAAATTAGTATGAGCTTGGGATTCCTCGGCCAGGACTGGAAACTTGATGGCCTGGCCCTTGCATTTCTGTGCTTAGTGATTCTAAAAACAAAGTGAAGATGACCAGAAAGGGCAGTAAGACACAGGACACACACACACACAAAAGCCTTTCAAAGCTGAAAATTGCCCCCAACAAATGTGGACCTAAATTACGTAGGCTAGCCTTAAGCTATGTAACCCAGGCTAACCCAGTGAGTGTCACCACCTTCCTGCCTTAGACTTCAAACTGCTGGTATTGCATACTTACGTCACCACGCCCTGTTCTGCAGATTTGTCTTTCTCCCTGTTTTTAAAGGATTTATTTCCTTTTATCGTACGTTTCTGAGTGTGTGCATCTATGTCTGGCCATGTGTGGGGATGCCTGGTACCAGAAAGAAGGCTCAGGATCTCTTGGAAGTGGAGTTACAGATGGTTTGAGTCGCTGTGTGGGTTCTGGTAACAGAATGATGGTCTTCTGCCAGAGCAAACAAACGATCTTAAACCTGTGGGTTCACCCCTTTGCGGTCAAGCAATTTTTACAACGGGGTTGTATATCATATATCCTGCCTATCAGATTCATAACTATAGCAAAATTATAGTTACAATGTAGCAACGAAAATAAAATAATTATGGTTGGGGGGTCGTCACAACATAAGGAACCGTATTAGAGAGTTGCAGCTTTAGGAAGGCTGAGAACCAGTTCACTAAAAGCCATTTCCCCAGCCCCGATTTGTCTCTTTTTAAAATGTCTTACACTGTGTGTGTGTTCATATACACATGGGTTCACACACACATGGGTGCCACCGAGCACATGTGAAGAAGTCAGCCTCTTCTTCCACAAGGGTTCTGGGGGTTGAACAAGTTTCTATCGCAAGCACTTTTGACTCCCAAGCCATCTCTCTGACCCACATTATTTTTAAATCACAGAACTCTGGGGTCAAGGCATTCCCATGACCAGGTACCGAGATGGGCTGAACAAACTTTGTGTGAAGTGTGAAACTGGGAGCCAGAGGGGTTGCCTTGATGGCAACCTACACAAAAAATACGATGGATTTATGAACCACCTGAAATCCGGGATATAAGAGAGTTACCTGTAGAAGCCAGTTCACGGTCAAACTCTTGCCACACTTGAAGCTTTTTCATAGTTTGGGGGCATGGGGAACTTTACTTACTAGCTGGAGGAGCGTCTGTTCCTGTTTTCCTGGCCTTTTCCCATGTGTGTCTGGATGTCACTTAGTAGACACGTGTAACCTGTACATTTTGCCACACATATATGAATATTATATATTTATAAATATATGTTTATGTATATTTATAATAAATTTGTAAATATATTTATGTGTTATAAGTATAAATGTATGATATATAATAAGTATATTTATATATTATACATTTATAATAAGAATAAATGTATAATAATAAGTATATTTATATATCATACATTTATATATATATTTTTTTTTTCACTGCTGGCAGTTTCCTTTTCAGTCTAAGTCTGTATTTTGCACTTAGTGTTTGTCTTCTTCTCGTGGGCACCGGTTCTCCCCATCCATAGTGGTTCCAGCAACCCCAGGGGAGTGCTAGCCTAGAGGACCCTGGATCAGGACCAGAGAGGGCTAGGGAGCGAGGACTGTAACTCCGGAAGCCTGCGCCTGGGTCTTCCGTTCCAAGGGGCGTGTGATCCCACGTGACTCACGCCATCCTCTCGGCCCTGGCGTCCCGCCCTACTGCGCAGACGCGGAAGCTTTCGGTAAGCGGGCGCTCGAGACCGTGTAGGCAGGAGAACGTGGCGGGTGGCACCCGTTTCCAGGTGTGGGTCTGTGTCCCGTGGGCGGCAGGCAGAGGCGCGTGGCTGATGGCCGGGAGTGCGAACTGGGGGTCCTGGTGGCTTCCCGGGAGCGCGCAGGCGGGGCACATGGGGACGCGGAGCCATGCGTGCGAGCCTGGCAAGTGTGCTCTGTCTGACCTCTGACTCCAAGTAACCCCGCAAAGGGAGGGCCTAGGGATGGATAGGCCGACGTGCAGCCGCCGGTGACCGCGCTTCTGTCCCCACAGGTCTGGCCTCAGCATGGCTGCCCTGCTTGTGAGAAGCGCGGTGGCTTCGCTCATGGATCCGCTCCTGCACCTGAGTCGCCTCGCAGTAAAGCCCCGGGTCTTCTCCTCCTTCCTGCTGGGGACTCTTCCAAGCGCCAGACCCTGCGCAGAGGTGCGCTCGCTTCTCTGGGCCCGCCCCCTGCCGCACCTGCAGCCCTCTCTGGGCTTCAAGACCAAGGGTGTCCTCAAGAAGCGCTGCCGGGACTGCTACATGGTGAAGAGGCGCGGGCGCTGGTTCGTCCTCTGTAAGACCAACCCCAGGCATAAGCAGAGGCAGATGTAAGGACAGATGCCCAAAGGAAGTTCGTTTCGCCGAATCAGAGAAAAATAAATGTAAGCATTCTGTAATCGAAGATCTGTGGGCCTTGGAGTTTTGTCGAACTCACCCGTTTAACCCAATCATAGCCCAGTTCCTTCAAATTTAGCCAGACCAGAGCAGCAGATGGGAAAGGATTGTTACTGTTCCTCAAACTGTGTTGAACTGGAGGACAAAAGAAACAAGAATACAAAGCTGACTTTATCTCTTGAGACAAGGTCTGGCTCCATAGCCCTGGCTGACCTGAAACTTGCAGAGAACCTCCTGCCTCTGTCTCCCTGGAGTCATCAAAAGCAGCAGAATGCAAGGTTTAAGAAACCAACTGAGCCGGAAGGCCCCTGTGGGGAGCACAGCAATCCCAGCTTAAAAATAAATGGTGTTGTTGGGTAACAACTATCCCAGCCTTTACTCAAGGAAAACCTTGTTTGCATAGAGATGTCTTTCAGAAACCAATTAAAAATGTTTGTCATGACTGCCCTTAAACTCTGGAGTGGTAGTGTTCTTTATGCCAGCAAATTCATGCTTTCAGGAAGAGGTTCGTCCATTTTAGCTCAACGAAAATGATAAAGCTTCTGGCTTCTGAAGGGTGCATTAGGACACCGGTGGTTTTTTTTTCAAAACTTGCATTCATTAGTATTAAAAAGTGGGGCTGGGCTTGTCCTCCTTTTGGAATAGGTCTCTGGCCCTGTGCCCTTTTGTGGTTTAAAATCTCTTTAGTCCAGTGAACTTCAGGTTCACTTTGTGTAGACTTCTTACAGTCCAGACCACATCATGCTTTGTGGCCCTGTGAGTCTGACCCTCAGTGCTGTAGACCCTCTGTCCCCTATAGGGAGTGATACCTGGTTGCTAGTTGTAATATTTGTTTGTCTTAACAAATAATACTTGCCTGAAGGTCAGATTGCAGATACTAGAGGCCAGGGAGTGGTGATGCGCACCTTTAATCCCAGGACTCAGGAGACAGAGGCAGAGGGGTCTCTCTGTTCAAGGCCACCCTGGACTATATGAGCCTGAATCTGTCTAAAAGAGAACCAGTGCTCATACAAAGGTGAGCCCAGCACTTGGGATCACACATCTTAATCCAGCATTAACAAGGAAGGTGGAGCAATATGGCTGGACTGAGAGGGGGATATAAAGCTGGAGGAGTCAGGAGCCCAGTGCAGTCTGGAGATGTTGTCTGAAGCCGTCAGTCAGAGGATGCAGCCTGAGAACAGGATCGCCCTTTGGGTCTAAGGATTTCGTGGAGGTAAAAGGTCTCTCTAGTGACTGACTGCGCTGCTCTGATCTCTCGGCTTTCACCCCCTAATATCTGACTCTGGGTTTTTGTTAAGAATTAGTATTCGTGCTGTAGCTCCTGGTACCTTGGATCATTTTCCTGGAGTGTCATGAAATTAGAGATGTTTTCGGTGGGTGGTTACAGGAGATGGCCATTGCCTTTTCCTGGGGTCTTAACAATACTTGGTGAGTAGTTAGGTGTAGGCAGGGACCCTCCAGACAAGGGCTTTGAAGAGGGATCCTGGCAATAATGTGTTTTTAAGGGAGTTAGGAAAACCATGTGCTGTTATCGGTTGCATTTTGAAGGGCATATGTGAGCGTACACGTGAACATGAAGCCTGGAGGAGAGTCTGGGGACACAGGAGGAATAGAGGGTAGTCATGAGTAAAACCAGCAACTTTGCAGAAGGACCTAGCTCAAACGACAGTATGAACCAACTTCTCAGGTTCGTTATCCACACAAGGTTCCATGTTGCTGGTTTACAAGCCTGAACTCTGCAGAAAATCTCTCATGGGTCCAGGCAGTGGGAGGCGAGGTGCAACACCCGGCCAGCAGCGGACCATGGGCCAGGGTGACTGCACAGGCCTGGCTCTAAACTCCCTTTTCTCATTGTGGTCACTTCTATGAGGCCACTTTAGTTCCGGTTCTTAGACTTAGAAGGCAATAGTAGGTCATGGCACAACTAAGATGTGAAGCCCAATTCCACCATTTTTAGCTGTGTGACATTCCGTGCTGAGTGCCTCAGTTCCCTCTCTATAAGATGGGAAATTATAAGTTTCGAAGCTATGCTGTCCGAGTTGGAAGTTGTGACTTGCAACAGATACTTGGTGTGTGCCTCTCACTGTACTAGTGATATAGGACACTTGTCATCCTTTTACTTCCAGAATTCTCCGGTTGAGGTTGTTTTCAGTAGACATAAGTAAACTTTTGAATAGCCTGAATCATTCACCCTCACCTCTGACAACAGGCAGAACCTAGGTGGGTAAGGATTTCTGTTTATGTGAAGACACTCACGGCCATTTGGAAGAAGTGGGAATGCCTGGCTCACCTCTTGGGCATTTCTCATGGCTCTCAGCTTTGAGACATTGGGAATGGCTTTGTAAGGCAGTAGCTGTAGTCCTTCTGGAGATAGTACTGCGTACCAGTGGCAGTGACTCTCAGGGGCTGTTCACAGTGCAGAAAAGTCAAGCTGCCCCACCAACTTCCAGGGTGAGTGGGGGATGGGGACTGGATATAACTGGTCCTGGCTACTGGAATTCCAGTGTCCGGTTCCACCTCAGTTCTGTCAGGCCTGATGGCCCCCCAGTTCCTGTCTTCTATTTGATTGGTTGTGTAGATAGCATACAGTCGGTGGGTCATTCCCTGGCCACTAGGACCAAACAGCACTGACCTGAACAGAAATACAGGTGACCACTCAAGCCTTTGCACCCTATGGGCGGGCACAAGCATGCTGTAAAAGTCTGATGGGAATCCGATGGGAACACACCTCCCTTCCTTTCATTGGTTGGTTAATTTTTTATTTTTTGTCATGATGAAAAATTTAAGTCTTAAAATACTGTACTTTTCCTAAATTTAAAAATTTAAAGCCTTAATTTACTCAGCTGGTTTTCTCAGAAAAAGCATTTAGTTCTGGTAAAATGTGGTAGAAGCTTCAGTTCCATTAGTTCCTTTCCCTGGGACAGCCTCACAGTGTTCTGACTAGACCTTGTAGGTGCTAATGTCCAAATGAAAACCTGCAAACCGAGACACCGTCTCTAATCCTCTGTCTTCTCTTCTGTGGCATTTCAGTTGTATGTTAATAAATAGACTGCCTGAAAATCTGAGAGTAAAACAGTCCCCCTGGTCAGCCTTACAGACCAGGTTATGGTAACATGCACCTTTAATCCCAGTAACCACACTAGTTGCCATAGAAACTGGGTGGTACATGCCTTTAATCCCAGTGGTGCACGCCGTTAATCCTAGCCCTAAAGAGGAATATATAACAGAAGGAAACAGCTCTCAACACACAGTCTCATTCTGAGATTCTCAGGATCGCCATTTCAAACTGAGGTAGAGGTAAGAGCCAGTGATGGGCTGTTTTGCTTTTTGGATCTTCAGGTTGGACCCCAATTTTTCTCTCTGATTTTTTTATTAGTCATGCTTCATTTGGCACCTAACTTTTGGGGGCACAAATTTACAAAAAAGCCATTTGCCTGAGCCTAGATTTCTAGCTTCAGCCCAGGCCAGCGCTGGGATTGAAATTCCAGCTCTAAGAATTGGATCCCAAACCTAGTCACCCGGGATTGGGAGAAAACTAGCATTCCCAGTTCTCATCTGCTTAGCCTCCATGTAAAGATGAAAAATACACAGAGACTCTGGATACTGTATGTTACTGTGTTGTCTTTGAACTGTTTGCTGAAGAAGGAACAACAGCTGCTAAAAGACATTTGATTATAATGCTGATGGTATAATCCAACCTATATATTTTGAAAGTGTCTCAACTTCAAATTTTAAGTCAAAAAATATGTTACTTTGGAGAAGAGGTTTGGCTTTTCTTTCCACAGGAAGTGGGAGGCTGTGGATTCATTCTGGGTTAGTGAAAATAAGATTTGATCAAAGAAGACCCTCCTGAAAAATCTCCAGTGGGAACACATGACCCAGATGATCCAATGTTTCAAAGTACATTTATTGCAGTTTCCTCTGAGTTCTACATCCAGAACAGCTTCAAGACTGCTGGCTGAAATGATCCAGCCTCACAAGTCCTCAAGTCCAGTAAGGACTTGACCATAATCCTAAATTTTCCTTGGGTCCTCATAAGATTATCAGCACCCCCAATCAGCAGGATGTAGCCTAGAAAACTATGCCCACATTCCCAAAGAATGGATTATGGATGCTTGTTTGTATTTAATGTGTTGTTTACAAGTTGTTCTGGATAATGGTCAGGAAAAAAGCTAAACAAAGGAAATTAGATTCAAGGTTCTTGTTTTGAAAAAAACATGGGGGGGGGGCAGGCAGTAGTGATACACACCTTTAACCCCAGCACTCAAGAGGAAGAAGCAGATGGCTCTCTGTAAGTTCAAGGTCAGCCTGGTCTATGGAGTGAGTTCCATGATGGGCTCCATAGCCACTGAGAAACCCTGACTCAAAAATTGAAAGAGAGAGAGAGAGGGGCGGAAAAAAAGGAAAAGAAAAAAGGGGGTATAAATAAGATAAAATAGAGAGGTAGATTATTGAATTACTCTGAAAGAAAAAGGAAGGATATAGATATAAGATAAGAAAAAAAGTAGATTATTGGATCTACTTTTTTAAAATATTTATTTATTTATTATGTATACAATAATCTGTGTGTATGTCTGCTGGCCAGAAGAGGGCACCAGACCTCATTACAGATGGTTGTGAGCCACCATGTGGTTGCCAGGAATTGAACTCAGGACCTTTGGAAGAGCAGGCAATGCTCTTAACCACTGAGCCATCTCTCCAGCCCTTGGATCTACTTTTTAAAAGCAACTGTTAGTTTTAAATATTTTACATTGGTTTCACTTTTATATATTGTATACAAATTTTATATATTGATACAAATATGAGATTAATTTTGTTGAAACACTGTGCATACATTTCTAATCTTGTTCAAGGTATTATACCTATGCAGCTAATCTAACAATGTAATGCAGATTTATAGTCCTTGAAAATTATTATTATCAACTGTTTAGGATAATAAAGAAATACAGGTTAGTAGTTAATCACCTAGTATAATTGAACTTGTAGTCACATTAGGTATGTTTTCAAGCTCAAAGATATAATTTAGATAGATAGGTCATCTTCAAACACTTCAGAGATCTACCAAATATGCCATTTTTAGACGTTTTAATAACCTAGATTCTTCTTTTTTATGACAATGAGACATGTCTGCTCCTGGCAGCACTAATCTACTTCAGAGAAGATAATGGGCATTGAAGAAACTCCACATGGAGTTTACTTTCTTTGTGGCAAAAGTAACCCACTGGGCAAGAAAACGCTCCTGCCTCGACTGCTGACATTATGCTGTCCTAATTAGACAAGCAGGACACAAAATATCCTGCTTCACAGAAAAGTCTGTCGAATATGCTAGGCCTATAGACAGAAGATGGATGCCCCAACATTGCAGAAGAAGGAACTTTGGGTGACTGTCCAGGCAGCCAGATGTTTCTGTCATTATTCACATTTTTTGGAAGTCATTTGCTTACACTTCCTGC